TTACTATAGCATCATACTATGATTATAAAATATGGAAAATGGATGTGAAGACAACTTTTCTTAATGGAGAGTTAAAAGATGATGTGTACATGAAACAACCTAAAGAACTCATATCCTTGTCTGGTCCTAATAAAGTTTGCAAGCTACAACTATCCATTTATAGATTAAAACAAGGTTATAGAAGTTGGAACATTCACTTTAATCAAACAATTGAAAAGTTCAATTTTGTTAGATGTGAAGAAGAACCTTGTGATTATAAGAAGACTAGTGGGCGCAAAATTATTTTCCTATTGTTATATGTAGATTACATATTACTTATTGGAAATGATGTACCAGCATTACAAGGTACAAAGATTTCGTTATCTAAATAATTCTCCATGAAAGATTTAGGAGAAGCACCCTATATTCTAGGGATAAAGATTTATAGAAATAGATCTAAAAGGTTGTTAGGACTATCCCAATCTGTATATATTGAGCCTATCTTAAAAAGGTATAAGATGCAAAACTCCAAAAGGGGCTATTTGCCAATAGGAACTATAATTTGTCTTAGTAAAGAGGGTTGTGCATATACTATTGAAGAGAGAGAATGCATGAATAGAGTACTATATGCTAGTGCACTGGGCGCTATCATGTACACCATGACTTGCACACATCCTAATATTGCTTATGCACTAGGTGTAATTAGTCGATATTAGGCAAACCCTGGTGAGGAACATTGGAAACAGATGAAGACTATTCTTAAACAGTTAAGAAAAACTAAAGATCAATTTCTCATTTACGGAGATTCTGAACATAAATTAAAGGAGTATACCAATGCAAGTTTTGCATCAGATTAAAATGATAACAAATCTATTTATGGTTACATGTTCACCTTAAATGGCGATGCAGATTCAACAACTAAAGTAGAATATATAGCAGCAAGTGAAGCTGAAAAAGTGGTTGTTTGGATGAAGAAATTCATCTCTGAACTTGGTGTTGTGACACCCTCAATTTAAAGTCTTTAAATTATAGTGTCAGTCTTGGGATTCTCGCTTGAGTGAGAGAGTTGTCACTTGGGCGAGAGAGGCTTACCTGGGAGGGTGAAATCCTGGGTTATACTGAAGGATTCTCGCTTGAGCGAGAATTGTTTCGCTTGAGCGAGAGTGGTATCGCCTGAGCGAGAGTTGTCTCGCCTGGGCGAGAAATGGCATTCTGGAACCTGTCGAGGCTGTGAGATTCTCGCTTGAGTGAGAATCATTCGCTTGAGCGAGAGCGTCAGATTTGAGTTTTTAAAATGGGCGGGATTTTCTCGCTTGAGCGAGATTCAACAACAAAAGCAGAATATCAGAATATATAGCAGCAAGTGAAGCTGCAAAAGAGGTTGTTTGGATGAAGAAATTCATCTCTGAACTTGGTGTTGTGACACCCTCAATTTAAAGTCTTTAAATTATAGTATCAGTCCTGGGATTCTCACTTGAGCGATAGAGTTGTCACCTGGACGAGAGAGGCTTACCTGGGAGGGTGAAATTCTGGGCTATACTGAAGGATTCTTGCTTGAGCGAGAATTGTTTCGCTTAAGCGAGAGTGGTATCTCCTGAGCGAGAGTTGTCTCGCCTGGGCGAGAAATGGCATTTTGGAACCTGTCGAGGCTGTGAGATTCTCGCTTGGGTGAGAATCCTTCGCTTGAGCGAGAGCGTCAGATTTGAGTTTTAAAAATGGGCGGGATTTTCTCGCTTGAGCGAGAATGGGCTCGCTTGAGCGAGAACCCGACGCTGTTGCATTAATTGTGGAACCACAAACACATTTTAGGGTTAGAAATTGAAGAGAAGTGAGAGAAGAGAGCATTTTCAAGAGCAAGGAGCCTTGATATTCATCTAGAAGCTTGAGAAGAGGTAAAACTCTTGATTCTAACTCTCTTCTTCCCTTTGAAACTTGTTTTGGGTATGTTGGATCTCTTCTCAAAATATGAGAAACCATGGAAACTCACCCTTTATGTAAACTCTTGGTTTAAAGTTGGTATTTCAAGAATGAAAAGGGTTTATGGGTTTATTCATGAAAACCACAAAACCCTAAAATGAAAATGTGGTTAAAGAGGAAAATGGGTAAAGTGCTAGAGGTAGATGATGAGTATGCATTCTAATGTTGAAATATGAGATGAGTATGTATGTTTTAGATGTTTGTAAACTTATAAGGAAAGTAGTTTAGAAACATTGAAAATGTGTGAAATCTCTTATATGGTTAAAGATGCAAAATAAGTTGTTTATGTGTTATTTGGAATAAATGACTAACATTGTGTTATATGGTGGGAATGAGGAAAGATCCTAAAGTTGGAGGCGGTGTCGGTGGAACTTGCGAAGTTACCAAGAACCAAACCCAACACTCACCAAGCTAAGGATAAGCCTTTAACTTGTGCATTGTGATAGAAAAATGTGTGGATTTTCTGGTTGTGGATAATGATCAAGTTGTGAACCACTTATTTATTATAAACATATATGTGTATGTTTGTAATAATGATTGCATGGATTTACTGTTTATGAATTGATGGTGTATCAATGAAAAGAATACTCGTTTTTAGCCGACCATGATTGGTTAGCGACTTTGGCTCAAGCGATGTAGCAAGCTTTGGCTCAAGCGATGTAGCAAGCTTTGGCTCAAGCGATGTAGCTAGCTTTGGCTCAAGCGATGTAGCAAGCTTTGGCTCAAGCGATGTAGCGAGCTTTGACTCAAGCGATGTAGCAAACTTTGGCTCAAGATATGTAGCATGGTTTTCAAAAGTATAAACGATGAAAATTGATTTAAGTATATTTAACTTTAAATTGTTTACTTAACCTTATTAAAATGTGGATTAACGTACATTGACATTTATTGAGTTAACGACGTACTCCTTTGTGTTTTCTGTGTATGGTCAATGTTAATCTCATTGCAGGTAGGTGGAAGATGTAAGGATGTTTTGATTAGGAGCTTAGAGGCTTTTAATTTTTGAAGTTCTCATCTTCATTCTTTTGTAATCTAATGGATTGTGTTTTGAACTGAATATTTGTAACCATGGGCATGATTTTCTGTACATGTTAGTAGCCATGGATAATTGTAACTCTGGATATTTGTAGCTATGAGTATTTTTGAAACTCATATCCAGTTGTATGCGGTAGTTACTGAGCTGCATTAATATGATTTATGTTTTTCTGTCAAACGAATGTGTAAGTCGATATGGGTTCATAAATTGAGTGTGAAGAGGAAGCGAGATTTTAAAATAAGGTTATTAAATTTGTAAATGTAAGTTATAGAAAAATGCATGAAAATAGATTAAAATAAGGAAAAAATTCAATGGTAGAATTTGGGTACTTATAGGTGTGGTTCCCTCAATAGAAGAACCAATTCCATTATTGTGTGACAACAATAAAGCTATTACACAAGCAAATGAGTCAATATCACATCAAAAGTCTAAACGTTTTTTGCGAAGGTATCATCTGATTAGAGAAATAATTAAACATGGAGATGTCAAGATTCTGAAGGTAGATGGAAAGGATAATATTTTGGATACATTCACCAAGGAACTTGGGTTAAAGGAATTTAACAAACACAAGTGTAAATTTTGAATGAGATACATGACTGATTAGCTCTAGTGCAAGTGGGAGATTGTTGGGAATATATTTATACTTGAATATTTATGCCCAAGGTCCCAATTTGTCATTAAATATAATTAAAGCAATTGCATTTATTTATTTTTAATCATATTTTTAATTTAATTAAATATATTATATGATAAATTCATTTATTAAAAAATTAAAGACTTGTCATTATAATAAATGAGAAACATGTATTTTATAATTTTTAGTCTAAATTGTTATTGATCATATAATCATTGAGAATAGGACATCAATGACTCACATAGATTAATATATGTATTGATAGTATTTATTAGATAAGCATTAATAGATTTCATTTATTAAGAACATAAGATAATGCATATGTGGATATGATATTGAATAAGAGATTCATCAACTCTTGGTAATGAGTTTGAGCTCTATAAATAGGATCTTGACCAAGGTATTACAATGAATAAAGAAATGAGTTTCTTTGAGTTATTATGATAACTTAATAAAGTTTGACAACTATCGCGTCCGGATTTTTGGCCACGCGACCTCTTGAGGAGTTGTCATCACGTCTTTTGCGGTGAAAACGTGGAAAACTCGAATTGAACCCAAAATAGGATAAAATGGTCTTTCGATTTAGATTTGTGAGTTCGGGAGTCGATTACGAATCGGGGAAGGTATTAGCACCTCGTCTGCCCGTAATTAAACGGTACCCTAACTAATTGCATGAATTAAATACCCTTTGATTTATTAAAACTAAATTGTTTAAGACAAAATATTTATTTTTTAATTTTTGTGTCTGACAAGAGTTTATCTTGCTCCTACGTATCCTTAGGTGCAATAGGGGAAATCAAGACTACGTAGTTCTGGTTGAAAATCGTTTGTGAATTGTTTGTTGGTTTGATTAGAAATTCGTTTGATTAAAAGTCATTTAAATTTGTTTGAAGTTATTCGAAATAGAATTAATAGACGACGAGTCAACATTGATTGTTTACTCTCTCATCACTTCGATAAATAGCAGAAGCAGTACAAGTGACTGCGACCGGTTATCGGCTCGAAGCAAGGAGAAAGACATCATACGAGTTGTAATCTCGCTATTAAGTCCAATAATTATAAAAACGTTTTGTTAACTGAACTATGTTTTAAAGAGAGAATTAATTAGTGAAGGGTCAACATTGATCGTTAACCATTTTTACACTTCGATTAATAACAGTAGCAGTACAAATGACCGCAACCGATTCTCATCTCGAAGTGAGAAGTAAGAAACGACACAGATCGTAACCTCACTATAAAATTCATTTAAAATTTGTTTGAGTTACTCTGTAGTTATTATTTTTATTGTCAAAAGATGATTTTTTTTTATATATTATATTTTATGGAGTAAATGTTAGTATACTATAAATTACAGCCTTGAATTATTGCTTAATTGTTAGGAATCATTTTAATACTCGTTACACTGAGTGATCTAAGTAAATGATATTGATAAAAATACAATACACAAGCAAATAAAAATAAAGTGAAAAGGGTAAAATTGGATTACCCCTTTGAAGATGGAACCGTGAAGCACCAAACATGAAAAGGGGGACCAAATTGAAATCCCTAAAAATCCCTCTCCATTGCTTCTTCAGCGGCGATTGGAGGATCTCAACGATGAGGAGAAGTGGCCACCGGTTCCCCTGTCTTGGGCCGTGACCGAGCGGCGTGATTTAGCTACGATAGGCATTCCGAGACCCCAAGAGAAGCGACGAGCAGCATTGGTGGCGTCGGTGGAACAAAATTCAACTTGGTGAAAGCATTTGACATTGAATCGGTCCGATTTGGGGTTCTTTCGAAGTTCTTGAAACCAACGAGCTTAAAGTCGTTGGTAACTGCTTCCCCGGTGTTATCATTGGCCATGGATTCGGTTATTGTGGTGGAGTTGGTGGCGGTAGCACTATAGATCCTCCATAAAGCCCTGGCTTAACAGTACGTAGAGGTAAATCTCAGATTCTCTTTTCTCTTCAGAGTTGGTTCCGCCGAGAATGTTTAACTGCAGCTCAATCTAGCACCACTAACTTTACTCTCGGTTGTGGACTAGCACCACTAGCACCAGCTCAATCTATATGTATACATTTAATATTGTTGGGATACTTCAATCAATTCATCTCATTTATGAGTAACATGTGTTTCTAACTATTAAAATATACAGTTCAGATGTTTATTCTTAACAATACGAATGCAAATGTAACATGTGTATTTTTAACCATGTGAATGTATAAGTTGTAACGACCCGATTTTCTACCCTTGAAAATTTTTCGTTTATTTTAATCATTTCTTGCATACAGTCGTCACTTTAATTAAAGACTCTCCAGACCCACTCTTTGAAAATACTCTTTAACCTATCATACTATCATATAAATTTATGTTGCGGAAAAACATAATTTATTCAAATAGCCTTTATCACATACGTCCAGTTATGGGTTTTCCAAAGTTATAAAGTCCATAACTACATGTCACCATATTATCCTAATCAGATTACATTTATCCCAAAATACTATCAAATCAACTACAATGTCAAATAGCAATAAAGACAATCGAGTAAATAAACACAAAAGCTTCCTAATTGAGCTTCATCCTCAAAATCCTTCATTTACCTACAATGGGATTATCATAAACAAAACACAAAACAAAAGGGAATAAGTCATTAGTTCAATACTAACATCACATGATAATCCACATTTCAAATACAATTAAGTTTTAATATAATTTATAAATACAATTACGTAAATGCAAAAACATTCATATCTTCTTTCGTTCATTTCCACGTTATCCATATTCATCCTATAGAATATATACCTCATAATATATATTCTATAGCATGCGTATTACGTTCATTCGAAGCATCGTTCTTCTCATTATTCATATCCACACTATAGTATATATATCCCATACTATATATCCTATAGCATGTTATCCTTAACGTCTTCATTTTCAGCATTCATATTTACCCTATAGTATATATATCCCATAATATATATTCTATAGCATGCATATGACTTTCGCTCTTAACGTCCTCGTTTCTCATAAGTCGTATTCATTTTTAATCGTATTCATCGAGCCCTTTCACAAATATAATCCCCTACCACATCGGGTAGGTCCAAATCATCATCCATACCACGTAGGGCAAGTCATACACAATACAACATAGGGCAAGTCATACACAATACCACATAGGGCAAGTCATACACAATACCACATAGGGCAAGTCATACACAATACCACATAGGGCAAGTCATACACAATACCACATAGGGCAAGTCATACACAATACCACATAGGGAAAGTCATACACAATACCACATAGGGCAAGTCATACACAATACCACATAGGGCAAGGCATATGCAATACCACATAGGGCAAGTCATACATAATACCACATAGGGCAAGTCATACGCACATAGGGCAAGTCATACGCAATACCACATAGGGCAAGTCATACACAATACCACATAGGGCAAGTCATACACAATACCACATAGGGCAAGTCATATACAATACCACATAGGGCAAGTCATACACAATACCACATAGGGCAAGTCATACACAATACCACATAGGGCAAGTCATACGCAATACCACATAGGGCATGTCATACACAATACCACATAGGGCAAGTCATTAATACCACATAGGGCAAGTCATACCCAATACCACATAGGGCAAGTCATACGCAATACCACATATGGCAAGTCATACGCAATACCACATAGGGCAAGTCATACCCAATACCACATAGGGCAAGTCATACGCAATACCACATAGGGCAAGTCATACGCAATACCACATAGGGCAAGTCATACGCAATACCACATAGGGCAAGTCATACGCAATACCACATTGGGAAAGTCATACACAATACCACATAGGGCAAGTCATACACAATAGCACATAGGGCAAGTCATACACAATACCACATAGGGCAAGTCATACGCAATACCACATAGAGCAAGTCATACACAATACCACATATTTTCTATTATCATATATCATTAATAACTTCTCCTTACTAACACTTTACCTCTTTCACATACCTCACCCATATCAGCAAATATGATTTAGAGACACTTATCTCTTACCTTGGTGAGCGTTGGGGATCGGTTCCGAGTAACTTTAAAAGTCTCCTCCGCGATTCCTCCAACCTTAGGATCTTTCCTCATTATCACCAATAACAACGATGTCAGTCATTTATTCAAAATAACACATAAATAACTCGTATTTCATCATCAAATACACAAGGGATTCATGTATTTTCAATATTTCCAAAACTACTTCAATACAAGTTTCCAAATATCAAAACATACATGTTTATCTAATATATCAACATCAAAACACAAACTCATCATCCACATCTAACATTTCATCTCTTTCTCTTTATACTCATATCCTCATTTTGGGGGTTTTTGGGGTTTTTCATTAATAACCCACAAAACCTTTCCACATAACTTGAGTCTTAAGGCTCCTTGCTCTTGAAAAGCTCTCTTCTCTCTCTTCTCTTCAAAGTTCTAACCCTAAAATGTGTTGGGGTTTCTATTTTAAAGGGCAGTCGTCGTAAGTGTAATTGATTACCATATGGTGTAATCGATTACATCAGTTAAAAATTTAAAATACAAACTCAACGACTTGATGTAATCGATTACCAAACATGTTGTAATCGATTACAATGTGAAAAATGCACATATCTGATGCTTTTAATATGTTGTAATCGATTACGAGTATAGTGTAATCGATTACATCATGTAAAATACACAGGTCTGATTAGTTTATCAGCATGTAATCGATTACCAGGATTGTGTAATCGATTACACTATTTTTAAAAAGCAGAATCTCATAGTGTCAACAGCCCGAAATTGCCATTTCTCGCCCAGGCGAGACAACTCTCGCTCAGGCGAGAATCCTCCAGTATAGCCCAGGATTTCACCCTCCTAGGTGATCCTTTCTCGCTCAGGCGAGAATCTCTCGCTCAAGCGAGGCTTCCAGAACTGTTACTATAATTTTGAAGACTCAAATTTATGGTGTTACAATCCTCCCTCTTATAAGAATTTTCGTCCCCGAAAATTAAACATACCTCGTAAAATAAAATTATCACCTAGACCTTAGGCACAAGAATATCCAACCGAAATCATAATCGATCCCCTAATTCATTAAGATTACTTAATCGGTCATTAAGGGCATACACCACTAAACCGTGATATCCCCAAACTAATTCATGAACCAACTCATCAATGTCCAAATATTAAGATCCTAGCCTCGAACAACATCGAATACCATGAGAACTAAACCGTAATTCAGACTAAAGATTTTTCCTATATTCGCCAAGAACCATAGGTCTCTAGAACTTATCCAGCTGACAAACCCCACATATGTTAATAATCCCGATAACACTCCCGAAATTCAGCGAATGGGGAGCCCCTTATCCCTCATCCACCCCAATGCCTCGTTTAACATCCACCATACACTAGCTAGTTCCACTCCCACTCAAGAAACTAGCATAATTTCATTTTACTCATTCAACAAAACATCTACACAATAAGACTCTTAGCGTCTCTTCCATTATACACAATCACACTATCCAGTAATTATCCAATTACATCAGATATTTCAGTCATTAAATCTTACCATGGAAAGGAATTACCAATCCTTAGCCTCAATTAAACCCATAAAACCATCAATTCACACCAAAACTAGATATTCTCTTAGCAATCGGCCAACACGAGTCGACCAACACTCAATCCTACAACTTGTGTTCGGTTTGGTCATCCCAATTCCGTTAGCAAAGATAAACTTACTAACCCACTCGCATTATGTCCAGAAATACATGAGCGTCTTATATCACTAAACTTTTAACAACCTCCCACTTATTCCGATATGGTTGCTAAATTTTCAGAATCCTCCAACATGATACTAAATCATTACATAGACACAAGCTATGTTTTACCCAAAAAGGATTTTCGAAAACATTTGAATCCACGAGTCATGGCAACCACGTCGTGAAACACGGTTCGCATACTCACTTCAACACAACCCAAAACTTCTTCTCTCCTATGGTTACACCACACCCATACATCGTAATTACTGACGTTCACGAAACAACAACAACTTTTGCCGGTACAACATTCAACGCAGACAATTGATGTACACCACAACTATTTCATGCGTTGCCAATGTCTTACCGCAAAAGAACCGGTCATTCGAGACCAAAAGTTTCACGTCTAATAAAATGTATTCATCACATCAACGGGGTAAACAACTTGACTAGCCTCTTTCCTCGACTATCAGCATAAGTCTTACCCCTTTAGCATACACATACATATCAATGCATACCAAATTTAAATCTTCGCCTCAACAATTACACATAGTTAAACATAACACTATTTGCTGACCGCTAGTCCATTTCTAGGATTAAATCCAACTGGGACATCATTGCGCATATCAACACTATGGTAAAGGTTTTACCATTTACTCCAACCGTAATCGATTACAATGTGAAAAATGCACATATCTGATGCTTTTAATATGTTGTAATCGATTACGAGTATAGTGTAATCGATTACATCATGTAAAATACACATGTCTGATTAGTTTATCAACATGTAATCGATTACCAGGATTGTGTAATCGATTACACTGTTTTTAAAAAAGCAGAATCTCACAGTGTCAACAGCCCGAAATTGTCATTTCTCGCCCAGGCGAGACAACTCTCGCTCAGGCGAGAATCATCCAGTATAGCCCAGGATTTCACCCTCCCAGGTGATCCTTTCTCGCTCAGGTGAGAATCTCTCGCTCAGGCGAGAATCTCTCGCTCAAGCGAGGCTTCCAGGACTGTTACTATAATTTTGAATACTCAAATTTAGGGTGTTACATAAGTAACATATATTTTTAACCATGTGATATATGCACGAGGCGATATTTTTTGACACATGATTAATAACACACATGTTAGTCATATATTCACATGGTTAAAAATACACATGTTACTTATACATTCACATGGTTAAAAATACACATGTTACATGTGCATTCGTATTGTTAAGAACAAACATGTCACCCGTATATTTTAATAGTTAAAAACACATATGTTACTCATAAATGAGATGAATGGAGTAGATAAGAAATGACTAAAGTATCCCAAATAATATGAAATGTATAATATAGAAATATATCATACAATTTACATTACAATGATATTAAAAAAATCATTATATAATGACAAAATTGCCTTTGAAAAATTCAGGTGTCAAGCATATGATATTAAAATGAGAGTTATTAGTATTAAAAATTGTAAATGAAAATTCAATTATAAGAATTGATTTAAGAAAATTAATTGTTGGATATAATTTTAAAGATATGTATCTGATGATTAATATAAATTAATTTAAATGAATATATAATAAATGTGCATAATAATATGATTGTTAATGAGAGTATGAGACATTAATAAGATTGTTTTCATAATATTATAAGAATTTAAAGTCTCACTTATAAGAATTGATTTTGGGAAAATGAAGAAAGATAAGAATTGATTTAGAGAGGAATATAGAAGGAATGTGTATAATAGGATAACAGAATTTCTAATCATAATATGAGATATCAATAGGATTGCTTTCACAGTATTATAAGAATTTAATGCTTCACTTATAATAAGAATTGATTTAGGGAAATTAATTGTTGGGTATAATTTTAAACATATGTAGCTAATGATTAATAGAAATTAATATAAATAAATATATATAGAATGTGTATAATAATACTGATAAGAATTGATTTAGGGGAAAATATATAAGAAATGTGTATAATATGATTGCTAATCAGAGTATGAAATATTAATAGGATTGCTTTCAAAATATTATACGAATTTAAAGCTTCACTTATAAGAATTGATTTAGGGGAAATATATAATGAATGTGCATAATATGGATAATAGAATTGTTAATGAGATTATGAGATATCAATAGAATGTGCACAATATTATTAGAAGGTGCAAAATAGGGATAATTTATATTAATCATCATTTATATTAATTTTTGTTAATAAAGAAGAGATGGAGAAGATGAGTGTGTGTGTGTTACATATGTTGTGTATAGAATCTGGTTATTGCATGAGGAATAGCTTATGTGTATCCATTCCCTTTTATGAAGGTTTATCAGAGAACCTTTTAATCTGCCAGTTGAGAGTTAAGAATGTACAATGGCCTTTTTGTTTCCTGACTATTGCACTTAAAAGATGTTCATCAATGATGCCTGATCACTACTATGTGGATATGTAACTGTGGGGAGGGTAACTCTTAGTTTGTAACTGCTTAATTCTCTGAAATTCTACTATTTGGTACGGCTGGTCTCCCTTTTCTATGTCCTGTGTGTATGTATTCTCTTTATTCTGGTTTATAAAACCTTTTGATTTTTCTTTCCATTCACCAACATATATACTTTTTTGTCTTTCTGTTTGTTGCATTTGGTCCTCGATGATGCTTAATTACCTTGTCTGTAATTGATAGTGCTCCCTTTTGCATTCTGAAAATCACAACAATTCTCTTAGGCTCTTTAGAACGTGCAGCTGAAAAGTCATGTAATATCTTTGCTAATCGTGTCTCGAGGTGTAACCTTCAAGTGTGACCTTTGGCTAGTTTCTCTTTAAATAATATTTCATAACTGTCCCAATGTGTGAGAAAATATCTGATATTTGATTCTTCCCTGCAGGAGCTGCTCTTGGAGACATCATTGCTACCCTTAGGGTCATTAATTATTGGTCCTCTTGCACATCACACCTTCCTTTAAAAGTGGCCCCATGAAACCTTATGCTCTAAGGACCTATTCCACAAGCCTCTTGGTGAGGTCCTCACATTGGTTCTACATCCCATGGACCTTGAATGTTATAACTTAATTTGTCAAAGTGATTGCTTCCTTTTGCTATGTATATGTTTATCCATTTTGCAAGTGTAAATGTTTGTTTACGTTGAGTAGTGTGTGAGAGAGATTGTTGATAGGCTTTTCTAGCTAATATACTCATGACCTTGTTTGGTATGACATTTTATTTCCTTTGAGACTTTAAACTTGAGGATCTGTCTAGATCATTGATGTAACCAGAGACTCTAAGTGTAAACCTTCTATTGTTCACTTTGTGCTTCAACCATTGGAACAACTTGGCTTACTATGAAGAGCAAAAAATGTGTCCTTATTTTCCAATGATTGTGTCATTTTAGGACCGCCCATTATATTTTTGGAACCAATAACTTATTTGCGAATTTAAAATGAGATTAACAATTAAAATTTGAAATAAAATTGTTGGTAAATAAATGACTCCCCTTTACAATTTTAAGATAAAGTTGGTAATGGAACCTCTAAAGATGATATATTTTTTAACCCTCTTTGGTTATTTTGAAATCATTTTTTATTACTTTTTCGCTTTTTAAGTAGTCCGGACAAAATCGGGTGTTCACAACAACTGTATCATATTTTAAAGTTAGTTAGAGCCGTAAAGATGGAAAAAATATTTTAATTGATCTTCTAGTGGTTCTTGAAAGTGAAATATATATTACTTCATGCTAAGTGGTCGTTAAGGAATGTTGCTAGATGTCAACCTTGATTAGTAAATTAATTATTTAATTTACTATGAGTTTTGAATTGAACCTACGGGACCACACACTAATGAGTGTTCTAATCTTTGCTAAATAATTATATTTTGATAATTAAATTGGAGAATTTAATTTGATCAAATAAATATTTTTATGAAATATTATTTTAATTATTTGCTAACACCAAAAATTTAAATAATAAATAAAGCACATTCTAAAATATTCACATGTAGCTGAAAAATAAAAGAGTTATTGTGTTATTTTTCGAAATAATATGTGATAATTGATTTGTAACATTTCAACCAATAGATATCACTTGAAATATAATATAAAAATATGTATAATATGAAGAGGTGCCTATACAAAAAAAGGCAACGTGAGAGAGAATTTCTTTCACTGTTTTCTTACACAAAGGGAAGACAGAATTGTGTTATCTTTTGCACCATTTTTTCTCTTCTTTATTTTCTACACAATACATACAAAAGAGTTTTGTTCGTAATATATTCTTAGTTTTAGAGTGTTATATTTTTCCTCCATTGGTTCAAATAGTTGATAGCAAAGGTTGGTTTCAGTGTGGATATACGCGTAGAGTCTTCATAATTTTAAATATCAACTTTAAAGATTCAGGAACTACTACAACTGAGTACACATTTTATATGCAGTTTTTTATTATATATAATTTTAAGTACAAAAAGATCCATGTTCATTTCGATATGTGTTAAGAACACAATAATAAATTATCTTTCAAACTAAATTATGCTTCTTCTTCAAGGCAATTCATAGTAAAGTGTTTGACCTTGAGAAATTACATTCATTGCAACGACAAATTAATTTAACTTTGTGTGAGCTTGAGATGTATTTCGCACCTTCTTTTTTGGACATAATCGTCTATCTAAACATTCATCTTGTTCAAGAGACATAATTATGTGGTCCTTCTTAAATGAGATGGATGTACCCTTTTGAGTGTTATATGAAGATATTAAATCGGTAGGTGAAGAGTTGATCAAGACTAGATGGTTGTATTATTGAGCGATATAGTGTCGAAGAAACTCTTTATTTTTGTACCGAATACCTTGCCGGTGCTGATTTCATAGGCATTCTAAAGCCTTAGTATGCAAAAAGAACATTTGGTGAAGGGATTACTGGGATTCAAATATTGACTATATCAAGAACCGAATTGGAGCAAGAACACTTATATGTTTTACATAATGTCGATGAGGTTGTGTCATATGTTGAAAGACAAAAGGAGATGATTAAGAATTTTAACCCAAGTTTGAAGGAAAATTGGATTTCCAAAGAGCATAATCTGTGTTTCATAAAGTGGCTAAAAATCACATTATTGAGGAGTTGAATATATATACATTCAGTTTTCGAAACAGTGGAATGGTTAGCCAATGGTCCAAATATTCATGTCTTATCCTACACTAGTTACCTAATTAATGGGTTCACATTTTATACGAAAAAACAAGATGATCAAAGTGAAACGCAAAATAATGTGGTGACTATTGTTCTCAAACTTTACATATGTCAAGTGTCAAAGATAGAAAACTCAATATATGTGAATATGTCATACTTTGGGGTCATTGAAATAGTCTATTGTTATTTTGACTAACAAAATAATCATCAATAATATTGATGACCAAGAATATGAAGATACTGATGGTGAAGATTGTCCTTTTTTTGGGACATCACAGTTGCGTGAGAGCGTACCAACTAAGGATGATGATTTATATATAAGAGATGATCATGATGAGGGACTTCGAGTGAATTAATATGTTCCTTTAAACAAGGATATTACAAGCCAAAAATTATTAATGAAAAGGAAAAAGTAGATGCACGTCTTTGTATAATTATAACATAACTTTGTTTGTTTATAATTTGCATATATTGCATATTTGTTTGTAATTTTATGTACATAATATCTCTGTCAAAACATAATTGATATGATATTCCTTGTTTAATTTGTATTGATATTAATAATACAAACTTTTATACATTCGGGTATTAATGTGTATGTGTTGTTGAGAATATATGTCTCTGTTGTTGATAAATGTATATGCATGTGTACAATATTCAACCATGCATGCTAGGGGCAATTTTGGCAAACATTGTTGTATGATTGTTGTATAGATTACATACAACAATGCTCATTGTAGCAAATGTTGTTGTATATATACAATTCAAGAGCACTAGTTATATGGAATGTTGTTGTATATATACAATTGAACAATGAACATTATAGACGACACTATTATATATTATTAATACAACAACATTCATTATAGACTGCAATGTTATATACGATTAATACTACAATGCTTATTGTAGATATTGTTGTCGTATGTATATAATTTGTGTATGTAACACCCAAAAGCGTTCTTATATCCCTAAAGTGCTATTGAACTGTAATTCTGGCGTAATAATTTTTGTTGTGGATAAGTTATGTAATTATGTATCCTTCACCATAGGGATAATATCCCTGATTGTCTATTTTAGTCAAGAATAATAATTTAATATAGAATTACCACAATAATATGTTATAACATTCTTATTTTTTGGTTGAAATATGGAACATACACTTCCTTTCTCATTTACTATTCATTCTCAAAAAATGAATATGACAAACATAAGTTACTATTATGTATCCTTCCTATATCTCAAATAGTTTGTCTTCACATCAATTCTGAGTACAACAATTGATTCCAAGTATCTATCGCCCCAGCAACGCACCAATGGGTGCAGTCCATGCCCTTGAAAGCATTGTATGAACTAGGATGTCCATCTTTTCTCAATTGTGAGAGATATGTAATGTTAAGCAATGTAACAGGCTTGGTTAGTGTATTCAACACGTCTTGTAAAACATATGATGGTCGTGGGAATCCGGCTGTGTAACTTGATCCATCTATTGGTATTGGTACTGTCTCCTTTGCACAATTTGTCACTTCTGGCTTATTCCAGTCCGAACCACTAATTTATATCATTTACATATGCACAAGTCATAAAATGATGTTTAATAAATAAAAAAATTAAATCCCAAAAATGTCATCTCATTCTAATTTTTACATAAATTTATATCTTGTTGTTAATGTGTAAATTTGTGACTTATTATCTGTATTTAATGATTAATAATTAATAGATACATGTTTCCTTAATGATTAAACAACGGTAATATATGTGTGAATTTATACATCTTTGATCACATGTTGGAAGGTGGCATAATAATAGTATGAAAGTATAGTATCAGGAAACAAATGTATTTAAACTTACTGGTAATGCATTGGAGTAATTCCTTGAAAGAACACCTTGGTTTTACTTGTATCAACTGTTGTATCTACCCATTTAGCCCAAGTTGTCAAAGCTATTTTAAAAGCCTCCATACGATCCATGTCTTTGATTATCTTGTCTCCTATTTGAATGTAATCCCATCTGAAGCAAAACAAATTGACCAAATAACACATTGGTTCCTATAAATTGTGAAAATCATCTTTATGTTGCACTAATTAAACGAGTTTACAAGATTCTTACGGTTGTTTGGGTCCCATACGATACCACCAAAGCCAAGTGTTGAAAACTAAAACGTCCACATCTTTCCAGATTTCTCCATTCTGAATGGAATCAAGCTTCAGGATTCGACCATTTGCTTCATTAACAATGTCAACCAAATGTGTAGAATGGAAGACCGACACAGAAACATCATACCCCTGCAAAAAATTATTATATTTTCTTAATATTTTATCAAAAATATCATTTTTAGAGAAGATGGTGGCCTTTGTTTTTCTTTTGTGGCACTTTATTATCATATTTTTTGTGGTTTATGATAAGTTAGCTCATTGACCTGGATTGTGTAGTTAGAGTTGAGTGTCCTGCCCGGGAATGCGTTGTCAGTGATGGGTGCATGCTCTAATATCTGAAGTTGAGGTACAGAAGAATGAAGCATGCAAGCAAGTGATTGCCACTGGTTGAGACTAATAGAATCTCCTACGAACATAATCTTTTTCCCCTTAAATTTCGTCAAGAATTGTTTGCCGTCAAATCTGTAAAGAGTATTAAATAAAAAAATGATTAGCATATGATGAATATAATCATATTCATGGGGCGCGTCATTACCTTTACTACCATGTATCTAAATGAAACATAATATTTACAATCATGTGTTAGTATATTAATTCTTTCTTAATTTTTATCTTCTTATGTACCTTTGTAAGTCACAACTCGTTGGTTGCCATCTGTATTTGAGGTATTCATAATCAGAACGACCATATTTCAAGCAATCAAACTCTTTCTCAATGTTAGGACATTTTGAAGAGTCATAAAGAGGATATGATTCATCTCGAACCCAGCTTCCTTCATATATATTGCAGTTCGAGTTTTGTGCCTTTGGGTGAGCATGTCCTTTAAAATTCTTCGCCAAACACAGCCATG